AAATTCCAAGAACCAAAGACTTTTGTAGGTATCTCTATTTACTTATACATATAGAGATATAGAAATAACTGGCACGTACACATAGTGTTAAATATATATGTAACAGTCACCATGAACCATATCCAAAATAAAACAGTGCAAATAATCAGAATATTCAGACATTTTAAATCCACATTTAATGAGAAAGAAAGGAATGATAGATAACTCTGAATATAACAGATTCATTTCAGAAAGCAATACTCAAGATCTGCAATATTCTAGAAAGAGTAGTCTTAAACACACCCAATACAACTTCCACATCTCACATCTTAAATCCCTAAACTGAGAATTCGTATCCGCGGTCATGATCCCGAAAGTTCTTTTGAACTTCTGAATGGTCAAAATTATCTTAAACACATTTACTGCATCTAATTCTTGGCAAATTGGTAATGCATGTCAAACAAGATGTAATCAGTCTTCACAAAATGGTTTCTACAGATTTGGGAGACCAGAGAAATTTTTAAATGCTCTAATAGACCAAAACTATAGTCAAATGCACACACAAAAATTCCCATTTATATTAATGAATGAACTCCCATAAAGCGGTAAGTTTTCATGAACAACTCTCATGAAAAACTACTCCCGCTCCATCGTTAGAGAAAAGCTGTTTGTGGAAGGGTGGGAAAACTCAAAGACTTTACAGGAAGAGGATCAATAATCACCAAGCCAGGAATGAAAGTGTTTTGAGGTTTTAATCAAGGAGAGAGAGAGCAGAATGGCAAAATGTAACTGAATACACAGTAAGTTGTTAAAACATTTTGCTGTTTCCCTCACAGCTAGGTTGGGGCAGTGACCTTTCCTGGCCCTAAAGCACCATGAGTAGTAGTGATGCAGGAGGTATTTATTGTTAATGACCCTCAGTTAACACAGTGTCAATCTGGAATATTCACAGACCCCCCCCCCACACACACACACCAGTGTATACTGCCTAATAAACAGTAGATGCTCCACAATCATTTGACTGTTTGTTGAATGTGTAAATGGCACTCTATCCTGAGACATTCCTCTGATACCCACACAAATCAATACCAATCCCTCACCTGGCTTTGAGAATAATTTTTTTTAACATTTTAGAAAATGCTATTTGTCTCTGTACAAGGTGCCTGTGGAAATGCACATTGATATATTTGGATAGAATTCCTTGTAAACGAAGTGAGGGCTGTCTAGAATTAGTAAACTGTAGCAGTCTGCAATTTGTAAAGTGGTGGTGATGGTGGTGTCACTCCATAATGTTGCATTTACTTTTGCTACATTATAGCCCATAAGCCAAGTGTGAAGTTATTAATGGTATCAGTGGTTGAGTTCCTAATTCATCTGCAAACCAAGAACACCTTGGATATTTTATAATTGCTAACTAAAGTTAACCCATCAGTGGTCGGAAGAAAATAGATAGCAAATTCTAAGAGAAAAACAGTTCTCGATCAACATACTTTTGCTTTGTTTTAGGTTTATTAGTGTTTTCAATGCCTTTTCTTAAAAAAAAAAATACTGACCCACATGGTACTTTAGGAATTATAGTACCAATCATGCAACAGATAGGATGGCTACAGGGGGGACTAAACCATTGTAAGGGCTTCTAAATCCTGCCAAAGGAAAACCATATATCCATAGAAACAATAATACGTTACAATGAAAAATTAACACAGGATTTAAAGAAATGACTGTCAGAGTCATGTCTTTATAGTCTTAATGATGTAATGCCTTTAAAAATTTCATGATGTATTAACATATTTTTAAAGGACAAGAGGGAAATTTAGGAAAATATTATCTACTTAAAAAAAATTTTTTTTTCCCAAATGGAAGAAAAGCTGATTAATGAGACAAATTGCAAAGCAAACGTTTGAAAAAAAATTTTAAACAATTACTACTTGGCCCCAGTAGTTGGCTAAGGAACTATCCTCAACAGGCAGCTATGGAATCTCTAAGGATCACATGGCAAATGGCCTTCCACCACTTCTACTGGAAGCCCCTCTGCATGGGCTGGCCCACTGCCCCAGGGGCAAGAAGGAAAGGTTTTCTACCCTCATTCAGCATCAGACGGAGCTTCCAATGAGGGGCAAAGCATACATTAGCATACATTAGAACATTCTCTCAAAATATTTTCATGCCATGATAATCCCTGATACAACTGGCCTTAAAACCCGGCTTTTCTGTCCCCTTAGACTATTCTAAAACTTGGTTTTTGAAAGCATGAATTCTGTACGTAACAACCAACTATTGGGGCATATTTCATTAGAATTATTTTTATTTTGAAGTTTAGTTTTGAATATCAACTGCAGAAGAATAATGATGTATCTTGTGAATTAAAAATACAATTTTATTTGGAAAAGTCTATAGTTCTGAGTCTATAAAGTTAGTAACATGAATTATTAACTATGAAAATGTAATTTTATTGTTCACAGTTCCTATTTCTAGGATTTTTAGTAGGACTATACGTTTTTATTTCCAAGGTACACATTTGTTTAGTTTTACTTATGAGAACCACTTAACTTACTAAAAAACTTTAAAGAACCATTTGTGTGAAGTTTTGTCATTTAAATCCATCCTTCTGAATACTAGGCTATTCTGAATAGGAAGTCTCTCAAGTTTTTTAAATAAAAATATTCTCCAAAGTAGTCAAGGTTAATTTAGTTTATTTTGATTTAACATTAAAACAGACCAACACTGTTTTATCAAACTCTTAAGCTCACATTTCTCAAATAGCAATGAAAGACAAAGAGCAGTGAATCTGTAGATAAACATGTTTTTACTGTTTTCTATGAAGGCTGTCCTTTTTGAAGGCATTGCTCCAAACACTGAGTATGGAAAGATAGACTGGAAATGTAAATACCGTATACATTTGCACACATGTTCGGGGCAAATGGTGTCTAAAAGGGCGTGTAGAAGGCTGTTAAGGCCACAGCTCCCTAAAAGCACTCTGTGCCTTTTCCTTGGATGCTGTCTTTTAATTAGTTCGCACATTCAGTTTCTATTGTACGAAATCCTGGAAAGCTCAGATGGGGAATGGAGGAGGAATCCTAGACTCCAGGGCCCCAAGTGCGTGAGAGGAGCGTTCTCAGTGTGACTCCTCAGTCTCACTTTCACGTACACAGTGACTCTGTGGCAGCAGATACACATCTCCCCGGGGACCCGAATCACCCCTCAGCTTATAATGTCTGAGGTGTCAGACACAATTGGGATTCCAAGAAGAAGGGAGGGCGAGAATGATGAGCAAGCAGCCCGTGGGCGAGCAAAGGGCTTCGAAGGGCAAGTCCCTGAAATGGTTCTCCCCTCCCGCTCTAGCTCCGCACATCCTGTCGCCGCTGGTGGCTGTGCGGGTGACAGGTCTGAGCACTGCGTCCCTACAGTCAGAAGCCATCAGCCTCCTGGGCAACTGCAGCTTTTCACATGGCTTCTTCCTCATCTCCCGGAAAAGAACGAGGCGCTCTTGTCTCCCCCAGAGCGGCCCTAGCAGCCCGACTGCGGGTCTGCCCCCGCGCCTGTCCTCTGACCCCCGCGGGGCGCGCAGCAGCGCACCGGGCGCAAAGTGCGCGGGGGGTGGGGGTGGGGCGGTGGAGGGATGCAGTTTGTAGTCCCGCCTTGCAAAAATCTGCCCAAGTTCGAGACTGGACCCCTCGTGTCCTTGGGGTGCAGTCTTCATCCTCTACGTGCAGCCGAGCAGAGGCGGCGCAGTCTGCCTGGTCCCCTCCTGCCGCCCCAACACCTGCGCCCACCAACTCCCGACGGCGCGACTTCTGGGTGCACGGTGATCCTTGCCCTTTCGGGGACTCTGCCCTACGTTGGTTCAATTTTCTAACGATATATTTATCATTTGTCTTTTTTTAAATGAGTAAAGTAACGAACTTCTCCCCCCTCCTACCCGCATCCAAACTGGAGCATCTGGCACCCCGCGGGGAGCTCAGGGACTGTGCCGGCTCCAGGCCGCTGTGCCCCGGGCTCCGGAGCTCCGCAGAACTGGACCGCTGGGGCGGGGAGGCGCCCAGGGAATCCGGGAGGCGGGCGCTTTCGCTCCCCAGATCGAGTTTCCCTACCCGCTCGGGCCCGGCTGCCCAGCCCCCATCGCGCTGCCCCGGCCCCCTGCGCGTCGACCGGCCCCCACGCCCGCCGAGTCTGGGAGGCACTCGGCCCCGGTGCCCGCCCCTCTGTCCTGTCCCCTCCTGTCCGCACCCCAGGCCCTCGAAGACCGTCAGCGCGCCGCGCTTACCTCATGGTCCGGTCACTAGACAAGTTTTGGACCCCCTGGGGGGTCTACACTGTTTCTCTCCCGAGTCAGGCAGAGCATCTCTCAAGGAAAACTATGGAAAGGTCTCCATCAGCTTAGCTGTCGCGACCGCTCCCGTGTCGGCGGCCGTGGGGACACACCTGCCCGCACGCGGGCGCAGGTGCACCTGTCCGGGCGCACGCGGCCAGGGCGCCTGCCGTGCACAGCTAGCTGCTCAGGCGCGTTAACCTCCCTGGCAATCGCCGGCGGGGACGCGAGGCTCGGCCCGGGCATCAAGAATTCCGAAACGGGCTCGGGAAACGGGGACCGATGATGGAGACTCTCAGTCCGCACACAGGAGCATCTGCCCGCCTCCCGCACACACAGCGATTCCACCCGACAGGCGCACACTTTGGGGAACAGACCACTGTGGGTTGCACGGTATACAAAACCCCTCCGGGCACATTCATGCTGGCCCTGACAACCCCTTTCGTCTACAGGACTTCTCAGCCCGGGTCCAAGCCAGCCACGCGCGCAAGAGAAACCGGGACCGAGGCGCGGCCGGGCCCTCCGCCGGCTGTGCGGAGCCCCCGAGGCAGGGGCGGGCGCCCCGCCGGCCGAGCAACAAGCGGGCCCCTGCCGGGGGCCGGCTCCCTCCCGGGCCCCGGGCCCCGTCCCCGCGCGGTCACCCCTCCCCGCCCCCCAGCCTCGGCCGCGCCGCGCGGGCGCCGGGAAGGAGGCAGCCGGGCCCGCCACTCACCCCCAGCTTCCTGCTGCGGATCTTCACGTAGCCCTGCTTGACTATGTCGTTAAAGTTGGAGGCCATGGCGAGCGCGCGCGGGCCCGTCCGCCCGGCGATCGGCTTCCCGGAGGCGACAGCCGCCGTGCGCCGCCAGAGGCGCGCCGCGCTCGCATGCAGCCCGCCGCCGCCCGGGGCCCCGAGCTCCCGCCGGCGCGGCCGCGGGCTGGGTGGCGGGGCGGCCGCGGGCGGGGAGGCGGCCGGCGCCGCGAGCAGCGCCCGCCTCCGCGCGCCGGTGCTCCCCTCCGCCGCCGCCCCCGGCAGCGCCCGCTGGCTGGCGCCCGGCTCGGCGGCGCACGGCTGGCCGGGGTGCACCGGCGCGGCGCCCCGGCGCGGGGGAGGGGCGGCGGGGGGGCGGGCGGACTCGCCGTGCGCTCCCTCCCCCCGGCCCGGGGGCGGCGGCGCTCCAGGATGCTGGCGAGACGCGCTCCATCACTCGCGACTCGGGCGCGAGCTCCGTCCGCCGCCCGCGCCTGGCCCCGCGGCCCCAGCGCCCTCCCGGCGTGGGGCTCCGGGCACGCGGCTGCTCCCGCCGGGCTCTCCAGCCCCATCCCACCTGGACCCGGGGGAAGGGCTGTGGGGATGCTCCCGACCAGGGGCAATCGGGAGAGAAAGAATGGTTTGTTTCAGTGGCCGTGTTCACGGTGCATTTTTATTCCCTAACACACGCTCGCGTTCCCGGTCTTTGCCCGGTTAGCAGCGCTGATCGCCGCCGAGCCCTTCCTGGTGCAACAAAGAGGCCAACGGTGCGCATGTGTCTGATCCCCCCGCCGCCAGGGAGCCCGAGCAGTCAGCCGAGGCAGCCCTTCGCACGTCCTCGCCGGCAAGCAGCGAGGCCCCGAGTGGGTTGATTTATGCACGCGTCTGAGTTAACTGTGGCTAAAAGTGGCTGGTGGCTTTTCATCTTGGAGCGGAAATGGAGACCATAGCTATTACCGGTGGATGTAAATGATTTATTGAAATGTTCAAGTTGTAAGGACAAAACAACGAAGAACTTTCTCTCCCAAATGTAGGAACGCGTGACGTTTAGAAGTAGGCAATTTTCTATTGCAAAGACATTTTAATTTAAAATTTATCTCATATTTGTGAGATGCCATTGGAAAAGTGGTACTGAATTTTGGCTGGAGGCAATGTATGGATTTTTGCTATAAGCAAGAATATTTAGTACCTAGTGGCTTAGGATGTTTCTAATTTTTTAAAAAGTATAAAGATTGAAAATCTTATGTGACTCCTTTATTTATAGAGTCACTTAATAACAGTTCAAAAGATCATGTTGATTTTTCCATGTTTCCAGGTAAAAGTTATTAACCCTATTAGGAACATAATACTAAGCAGGAAAGGAAACTGCTTGATTGAGAGGAGAAAAAATACAAAAGCTTGAAGACAAAGCAGCATGCCCCTCCCCCAACCAAATGGCCTCCCCAAGGGTGGTTTTTGTCCTGTCATTAGCAAGAGTGTCCATCTAGTGTCCATATAACCCAATGGAAACTCAACTTTTATTAACAGCTTACCATTCCTATTCATTTATTTACGCAGCCAATACTTATTTGAGGCAGATACTTAGACTCACATGGGAAGACCTCTAGTCACCCTTGAATGAGCTCAAACTCTGACCTTCCCAGAAATCTTACAAAAACTCAGTGTGATTCACCTCCTACAAAATACCTGGGGGCATGTTGTCTATTCCACTCATGTGTAACTCTTACATATACTACATGGCTACTATCTTTTTTTTTTATATGAAGATTGTTTAGATTTGCAGATACTTTAAATACGTTATTAAATTCAGTCCGTTTTGCAACCCCATGTATTCAGCAAAAAATACTTGCCATTTAATTGAGGAAACTGAGGCCTAGAGATGTTTAGGTGCAGAGCCGCAATTTCAAGATTGGTTTGGAGTCTCACAATGATTTCCATGACCACTCATTTCCACCATTGTTCATATAATAATCTGTTTCCAGAAGCCAGTTGCGAGACATTTGAAGCCAGAGACAATTTTGCCTCAGTAACTATCTTAGTGTTTTCTTAAGGTGAGGAATGGTTCCTAAATCTGACTTTTAATGATTATATAATGATTGTGCCTTTGTTCATATGCTTATGTAGGTCTTTATAATACCCTAAGATTATTTAAATATTCCCCTACAGTTACTTTTGTTTCTTAAATTTCTGATACAGTAGTGTGTGTGTGTGTGTGTGTGTGTGTGTGTGTGTGTGTGTGCCTATAGCACATTAACCTCTCTCTTACATTGTTTGTTTGCCCCTTGAAAGAACGAGATTACTTGTCATGTACATTTACCAATTCTGGATTTGGACAAATATCATCAAACATAAGCCTCAAACTTTCTGTTAACTAGTAATGTGACTAAGAAATGCAAGTACGTTCTTTTTCTTAAGAATAATTCATAAGATTTGCTGTATATAGCCATCGAGTCACATCAAAAAGAGCAAAATGTCTCTTTGATTAGAGGGTTTCAAATGCCATCAGCCTGATCCATACATTATAAAATGCTCTATCAGCCTTCCACCTAATAGTTTTTCAGCCACCAGTGATTCTTGTATAGATACCTTATTTCACTAGGGATTGTAAAATTGTGATTTTTCTAACATGATTTTATAAGTCATTTTCTCACAAAACAAAACTTTCCTTTGCAAACTTCAGGATCGCCCTGAAATAGATTCCTTATATGAAAGGAGCAGAGAATATGATTGCTTTTTAGCCTTTATCAAACATTTTTCAGAAATATTGAATGGATTCTAGCAAACACAAAAGGAAACCCTGCTCCATTTTGAGAATCATCAGAAAAAGGAGCTTTGTATATGTGATTTCTATCTATCAGTCATTATCCTTTTTGATGTTTTAATTGTCCCAGCCTTGGCCAGAGGAATTGGCTTCAATTGATATTTTTGTGTTTTATCAAGTACCCATGGACTTTAATAGTTTTGTTGTGATCGATCACAAGATATCCCATCTCATCTTGTACATTTCCAACTCCTGACCTGGAATCCATTACTTCTCTGAGGAAACCTCACTTATTCTAATGTAAAAGGAAATTCAGTTCCTGTAATTTTATTAGTAGGGTTTTATTTTTGTTAATGGTTCTAAGCTTTTCAGTAACAAAGAAGCAAAATATTTTTATTTTAGAAACATATATTAAAAGAGGAAAATACTCAGTTTTTATGTATATCTCCAATTCCAATTAATGTTAAGAGATTCCATACCATTTAAAGATGGCTTCCTTTCTTTTGAGGTTTTCATTATGTGAAGCTTTCAGTGTCAAGCCTATCAAACAAAGCACATTAGAGAAATAGCTCCAATTTTTCTCCTTTCTTCTGTGTTTTCTGCATCTTTCAAGGAAATCATTTTTATTAGTTTGTGGTTTATCCTTCCGCTGTTTCTTTCTGATAGTATAAGGAAACACACATGTGCTCCTATTTCTGTTTTTCTTACACAAGATTAGCATACAGTTTACACTTCTAATGCTGTAATAGCCAATAAACTGGGCCCCAAAGATTCCCATTTTTTTGATAGGATGTCCTGTGTGTTTCTTCTTTCTGGTGTGGGCTGGACTTTTTGACTACATTCTAGTGACCAGAATGGCAGAAGTGATGAAGTGTCCTTAGAAATTAGGTTATAAAAAGACTATGACTTCTCTCTTGGGTGATTTTCATTGAATTGCTTGCTCTGGGAGAAACCAGCTACCACAATATGAAGCAATCCTGTGGAAAGATAACTGTGAATGACCTTAGAGGAAGATTTTCTGAGGCTGCCTAACAACTATGTGAGTGAACTCAGAAAGAGATCCTTGGGAGGAACCCAGAGCCTAGAGGGAAGAGCCAAGAATCATAGAGAAATATTCCTTGACCTTGAGAACTAATATGGGAATTCCCAACATTTTCCAATTTGGATTTCAGGATTGTTATGGACTCATGCTCTCTGTGCCTTCTTGAGTCCCTTCTTAACAGGAATGTGCATTGCTGTACCGTGCTTGTCACACCACTGCATGTTTGGAATTGTGGGAGATGGATTACTTGTCTCAGAGATTTAAAGGTCTACAGTTGGAGAACACGATCCATAGTTGAAAAACTGTACCTAAGATACTCCACTTGAGGAACCTTCTGACACCGGCACCTGTTTTATAGAACCAGAGTCTGTCCTTTGAGCTCATGCTGCAATGGGATGAGAAATTGAGGGGCTTGGGGAGGGGGTAAGCATATTTTGTATGTGGGATCCGTTGGGCAGACCATTGCAGGCAGCTTCTAAGAAGGATGATAAAGATTGCCACCTCCTTGTAATCCCTCCCCCTTGAGTATGAGTGGCATTTCTTGAATGAATTCTAACAAATACTGTATGGCAGAAGTGATGGGATGTCACTTCCAAGATTAGGTTATCAAAAGAATGGATGTCTTCCCTAGCTCTGCAGAACTCTCTCCATCCTTCCCTTCATGTGCAGAATGGCCATACCCTTTCTTCATGGAAGCCATCTAAAAATATTACCCAATCCATGTACCAAACTCAAAAACAATGGAAGTAGAAAATACACCACAGTTCTTTTTTGGTGCTCATTTTTGATGAATTGGGTCTCCCCCAATTGAAGAATTGGGATAAGTTTAGTTTATCAAGGGAGAATCTGAGTTACAAACCCCTTGACCTCCTTCTTCTTGTACCACAAAATAGTCAAAGATAAAGCTTCTCAATGTATTCACTTCTGAAGACATTCTGAGAGTTACCTGTTCAGGTCTCCTCCCCCTTATATATGAATCTACTTCTTCCCATACAGTCAGAATTCTTATCCTGGTTCATTTTTATTCTATTCCTAAGAGTTGTTTTTACTTTGTTTTGTTTTCAAACTGGGGTTTTAACTTCCAAAGAGTAAAGCTCAGGCCACTTAACTCTACTCATGCCACTATCTACAGTTCAGTTCCCACAAATTCACCTGAAAAATCTGAAGCTCCACCCTAACTCTCTAGTCCTAGTGGGGACCCTTCCTTTTGAAGGTGTGTTATTTGGGGACATTTTAGTGTTTTGATTCTTAGGGCAGAGATCTTTCTATTTATCTTTGCTTCTCTTACCCAACCACTTTTCCCCTGAGATGCTGGCTACTGTTGATGATTGGACGTTCCCTCCCTTACATTCAGTTCTCTTGTGTAT